TCAGGCGTTGAAGAAACTCAACGCTGCTACTGGAACCTGGCCCCAGAGTGTTGAAAAGAACAATGTCCAAGTGCATATTCCCACGCAGAGTGCCAAGATGCATGGGCTACTATAAATAGTAACGGATGCAGCTCGCCACTTTCCGCAAGAAGATGCAGCCGTACCCTTTTTTTTTTTTTTTTTTTTTTTTTTTTTGGGAAAGAGTATCATTTCATTTCGGATAATAAGAAGGAGACCGGGGACCTCACAATTCAACCCCGAAAGGATAGAACCAGCTGGAAACCGGGTCCAGCGTCCCTTGCCTACTTCCCAACCATTTATCCCTGAATTTGCTTATAGCCTTAGGTACCAAAAGGAAGATTTCGAAACTGCTGGAAAACCGGGGCGAGATCCCACTACCCATGTATGTGGAGTAGGGGATAGGGGGTGTGACCCTTAGGCGCCGTTGATGAGAACGGTGATCAGTGGTTTTGTTTTTCTTGGTTTTCGGCATGGGGAAACATATGACTTTTGGGGGGCTCCCATTGGATGTCATTTCTGTTGTTTTTGTTGCGGTGCTCCTCTGGGGGTCATGAACGCGAGCGTGGGGAGTGAAAATCGTACCAACTTTTTTGGGTTGGATTTTCACGCACCTTCCACTGACTTTTGCGTCGTTGCCCATGCGTTCAAAAGAGGCCGAAAATGAAAATGTTCCCCTTTTCTCATCATGAAGGGGTGTCAGTTCGTGTCAGAGACTTCCACAACTTCTCTGTCATTCCAAGCCTCCCGTTGGGGAATCGGAACAGCCTCATGCAAGTGGACACTTTGCTATGGGAAAGTTAACAAATGTGTGTTGGCCTCATGTATGCAGTTCGCGACGGGTGGACAACATTGCGTTGTCAGAATTGCGGCATTTTTCTTTTTTCAACGTTCATCACGGAGTAAAGGATGCCACACGGATGTCGCCCGCAAACGTCACACTACTCCACATACATTGTTAGTGGGATCTCCCTCCGGGTCCAGTGTCCCCTTCCTAAGCAAAAATGCTTTCCAAAAATTGAACTTTAAACCACCAGTACTTGGCCCAGCTATTGATCCCGAGCCTGAATATGCCCTGCGCGCCAACTTTTGCCTAGCCGCCGCCACGCCTTTTCGACTTTCTTTTGGCTGGCGCCTCCAGGCATTGCGGTCCGGTACTAGGCTGAAGCCCATCAGTCGCGGCGCTGGAATTCCCTTTTCCAGGTACTTGGCCCAGCTATCGAGTCCGAGCCTCGGCCGACCGGTAGGCGGAACCGTGCCGAGTCTCGGACTACCGGGCGTTAAGTTCCCGAACGTACTGGGAAAACAGAACAAAAAAAAAGAGAAAAAAAAATCAAAGCAAAAAGAAATAAGAAAGCCAAAGAAAAAGCAAGAAAAAACAAACGGTTATTACGCATGCACGCGGAAGAGCGAGAGAGTCTCAGAGAGAGAGAGAGAGAGAGAGAGAGAGAGAGAGAGAGAGAGAGAGAGAGAGAGAGGAGCGAGAGAGAGGAGCGAGAGCTCTCATCTCTCACTCTCTCTCTCGCTCCTCTCTCTCTCTCTCTCTCTCTCTCTCTCTCTCTCTCTCTCTCACATGCGCGCGCGCGCGTTTGTTTTTTCTTCATTTTTTCTTTTTCTTTGTTTTCTGTGTTTTCTTTTTTGTTCCTTTTTTCTTTTCTTTTTTTTTTCATTTGCTTTTGGGATCTGTGTCATCCCTGAAACAAAGGAGCCCGACCTTGGTGCAGCGACCGGGCTTGCACTCGGGCGACCTCCTGTCAACGTGGCACGTTAACGGGAAAGGCCCGCGGCCCATGTATGGGCCAAGTACTGGTGGTTTAACGGGAAACGCCCGCGGCCGATATATGGGCCAAGTACTGGTGGTTTAAGCACCAAAAAAAAGGAGTTGCAAACCTGGAGTAATTATGAAAAACCAACTTTACGATCCTCTCAGGTCTACCGTACACATTGTAGAAAGCAAAATTATTATCTTTGATGGAAAGTCACTTTTGACTGTAAAACATCCCTTGATATCACCAACTTTTTGGACTGATCAACTTTAATCTTCTGTGTTTTTCGTGCCCAGGTACGCAGAAACAAGGGCCGACCTTTCCCTGTCTGCCTAAGGCTTGGACCCCAGCGCCCGGCGGCTGGAAAAGGAAGTTGGCCGCCGGTTGCTAGCCAACATCGGTGGAAACTTTTTGGTACGATTCGTGCAGACCCCACCGCCAACTTCTGGCAGTGTTTTGGAAACGGCATCACTTGCGGTTTTAGGAAACCCGAGAGGGTCCCCTCCCGAAAAGGAAAGCACTGACGGTCTGCATGGACCAGCGGGCATGCCGATTTTTCGGGTTGGCTTGTCCGTGTGTGACGGTGCATGCCGTCCACGGCACCGTGCGACGGTTTTCAGAGTCCCGATGCGGCGTCCCAGGGCAACTGGTGACGGAAACAGCAACGACAATTTTTTTGGGGCATGCCGTTGACCCGTTGCAGGTTACCCACGGAATTCAAAATCATGGGGTCCGCATAGGAGATACTCGTGCATATCCAACGTTCCCGCAGGGTTGTCGTGCGGGCGGCTGTGCAGGAGTTGGTACGCGGTCGTCGCTTGCAGCTCTGCCAGTGGACGTGTTGGAGGTTGTAGTGGACGGAGGCCATGGACGGGTCAGGATGTGGGATGAATAGTCAGGAAAGCGAGGATGCAATGTGCATGCTGCTTTTCGTCCTTTTCCAATGGGTGAAGAGACGGAACGTGGCAGCGTTGGCGGTCGTGGAGGCAGTATCGTTGATGCCTTTCGTCCACCAAAATGTCTCCACTGCAGTTACACTGCTGGCGGGGGGGCTGTTGCACGGTTTTGCTTTGGGTTTGTTGACGGTCGAGTAGATGGGGTGGACAATGGACTGCAGACGTTGTCTGTGGGTGTTGGAGCGTACCGGCGGTCTTTGGAAGGATCTCCGGCGAGTGGGGGCTGAGCACGACAAGGTTTTCCTTCGGTTTGCAGACTCCCACGCCCCCTGTCCTTTGAAGTTCTTGCTCGCGTCAGCCCCCATATCCAGCGGTCGCCCACAAAACTATAGATTTCAAATACCCGCCGGACAAAAGTTTGTATGCGCTCCGATGAGATCGGCTACTGGCGGTTACTACAGGCAGTCCTCCCATAGTTTGGGCATCGGTCTCGCAAGTGCTTTGCGCAGCAATGAGGAAGTGGCCGGGAGTACGGCCATCTGCCACGGTTCCCTACAGGGCAACGGTTGGAGGACGTGCAGAATGGGTTCGAGAGAAAAGGGTTCCCTGGGTGTGTAGGCGCAATAGATTGCACGCATTTGTATGTTGAGAAGCTGAAGGGAGTGCGATCGAAGTGCTACTACCACCACACTGGGGGGTGCTAGGTTGTGGCACTGTGGCACAAGTCGTTAGTGACCACGAGTGTCGGATTTGTAGTGTTTATGTGGGTTGTTCGGGGTTTGTGCATGATTCGAGAGTTGTGCGCATGTCGCCACTGTTCGTCAATGCTACGGAGGGTAGAGGAGTAATGGTTGAGGGAGGTGCCGTGCTGCACGACAGTAGACATGTTGGCCGCTATCTGCTAGGTGATGAAGGGTACCCTCTTCTTCCATGGCTCATTACTCCTTTTGGCCGGTTTGCTCGAATGTCGGCCGATCGAGCGTTCGATTTGAGCCACAATGCAGTGAGGTCGTGCATTGAGCGGGCTTTCGGACGTCTGAAGGCGGTTTGGAGGAACTTCATCCAAAGACATATTTGCAACCTGAAGACCGTGTGCAAAGAATTCACAGTCATCTGCATTCTTCACAACCTCATGATCGAGCACAATGTGCAGATCGACCTGACATTGATGGAAGACAGCAGTGACAGCGATGGAGACAACCACGGACGTCGGAACCGTCAACGACGTCGGCGCCGGCGTCGATTCAACCGCCATCTCCCGAACTTGAACATCGAGGCGCCGGTGGAGGATGACCCCACATATGGGGGGGGACTCGCACAGCACGTCAGTCAGGGGCAGCCTGGTGGAGCATGTGCGCCACCACATGGCAGTCAACGGGGCTCCTCCGCCATGCCCATGGCGGTAGTGCTCTTCTTTTGTTTTTGTGTGGTTATGTGGGACAACCCAATTTAGGACGGTCAAGGTCTCCGAGAAGACGTTGAGGTAGATGAAGGTCGGTCGGAGGACGGGGGTATGGGCATAGAAGTTCAGTGTCAATATTGTCGGTCGCTAGTAGATCCTGTTGGGTTTAGCGGAGCGTCATCTTTCGTTACACCTACCAGATAGTCGATTTTCGACGGTGCGGTTTTGTGGCAATGTATGAACATTTATTCATTAGTGTACTTAAAAAAAATTGAAATCTAGTTTTTTTTTTGTTCGTTGTCGGAGAATGCACAGTCGTGTGTTTTTTCTTTCATCTCTTTCCTATTTCTCACTCTGTGAAGCACCTTGTGACAAACATTTTTACCACCCCATTTCCCTACCGAAACATGTTCATGTACAACAAGCCAACAAATAATTGCACGTAATACAAGCAATGAATGTTGCGAAGTGCGAGATGGAGAGACGAAACGCATACATTTTGAGGGGCCTACGTATTTAAAATCATTGACACGCAAATTATTGAACAACAAACCTACTTCGAATAATATATGACTGACGTAATGAAGTTGCATTCAACATCCCCCCGACCCTGTCCGAGTGACACATTCGTTTCCTTTGCTCAAACAGTTTGGTTGATGAATTTCAGTTTGGTCAACTATATCTCAACACATTGCACGTCCATATATGACGCCGAATTGCACCATTCCATCCTCAATAGCTTCACACCCGAAAAACAAAGAAACCAAAAAAAAGAAAGGAAGGGAGGCGATAGACCTGAAAACCGAAGATAAAAAAAAAAAAAAAAAAGCAAACAAAGTGCGTCAATCTCAAACAAGCACAAAAGAACTCCATACAAATGCATGACTCGATTAGAACATGGATTGAGTACAAAGTTTGACGATGGCACAAAAAGGTCTCCGTCGCAAAGCTCGAAAAAACGTCCGAATGACCATTCGTCACCTCCTCCAGTAGATGGATTCAGTCATCGTCGTCATCATCATCATCATCATCATCATCATCATCATCATCATCATCATCATCATCATCGTCATCATCATCATCATCATCATTACCATCATGATGATGATGATGATGATGATGATCATCATCACCATCATCATCACCATCATCATCATCATCATCATCATCATCGTCGTCGTCATCATCATCATCGTCATCATCATCGTCATCATCATCATCATCATCATCATCATCATCATCATTGTCTTCGTCATCATCATCATCATCATCATCATCATCATTGTCTTCGTCATCATCATCATCATCTCCATGTTCATCATCATCATCGTCGTCGTCCTCGTCAACCATCATTTCCATCATCATCATTATCGTCATCATCATCATCATCATCATCATCATCATCATCATCAACATCATCATCATCATCGTCGCCGTGAAGATGAGATTTGTCATCATCGTAGCTGTCGTCATCGCTCGCATGTACCCGCATATGAACATCCAAAAGATGACCGTCATTGTGAACATTATCATCATCTCGATGGCGATGACAAAGGAACAACTCTCTCTCACACTTTCCAAACTCTCTCTCTCTCTCTCTCTCTCTCTCTCTCTCTCTCTCTCTCTCTCTCTCTCTCTCTCTCTCTCTCTCTCTCTTAGTCTGCAGATACTAGCTATGTGAACCCTGAACACTAGCATGACCAACGTTGATGGCACAACCGATGAACACGACGACCATCTTCTGTCGGCATAAAAATTATCCGTCACTCAAGACCTCACCTCCCCGTGCAAATATGGTCTGCCCACCAATGGCGGATAAGGAATGCAACTCCAAAACGGGATCGGATCTAGGTGGTCTACGTACACGTCAGCAAGGGTGGAGACGTAAAGCAGCACGATCTCCCCGAGCACATCAACGGGATGGCCGCCCCTCTAATTGGGGATCATATAGTACATATACCCAACCTTCGTCACGTAGATCGGCACATGGTCGAGATCATTCCCGAAGAACCTTAAGCCGGCGTCCATCTTCATAGCGGGTGCCCCGTCCACATCATCAACTTCGTAGAAACGGATGGACTTACGTATCACGCCATCCGCGAAATAGAACTCTCTGGTGTAGTACCCGTCCCGCTGGTGGCGCATCTCATACAGCATGACACCCTTACCAGAGATGATACCGCGGCAAAACACACACACATCCATCCCTCTGTCTGCCTCTCTCTCTCTCTCTCTCTCTCTCTCTCTCTCTCTCTCTCTCTCTCTCTCTCTCTCTCTCT